TGGAAAGAGGAGATGAAGGCGCATCGAACTGTAGATTACTGATTTTTCTAATATGATTTCTGAAGTGTTTTTATTCAATTTTCTAACCGTCGGAAAAATGCTTTTTTTATGAGAAAAAGAAAAAACAGAAAAGTTGATCGAAAACCGTAGTAGAGGTTCGTCTGGAATATGTATTATCCTCAAATAATTAAATTTACACCTGAGTCTTTCGCAGTTTATAGATCTTTGATTAGCGGCTTGAATGTGAACCTGATTATTGGAAATTCACTGTAAACAACTCATGGGATAGCTTTGTTCTTTAAAAGGTCAACTAAAAACCTTACAAAGAACAGGTTAGAAAAATCAGTAATATATGGTTCAATACGTCTTCATCTCCTCTTTCCAATGGTGAAAACCGCAGTTCTCTATCTTGTTGCTATCAAACGTTATTCAAAAAATACTCACGAGCATTCATGCTACCAGCACATATGCGAAAGAAATAGATCTTATCGAAATTTTATTATTATGATATTAGTTGAATAGTGATCAAATAGCATAGAAAAATAGAGCGAAAGACGCTCTATCTGTTCATAAAAAAACAAAAATTTTTCAAGCTTTCTATAAGAAAAAATAGTACCTCCCTCACTACTTTTGGATACCCCTAAGTATTTTAGTTTTTGCTGGTAACAGGCGAAAAATCGGTTTTGGGTAAAATGCCTCTGGCGAAGTTATTTTCATTTCTACACAGAAACAAATGTTGCTACTATGCTCAGCGTAGTCGATTATCAATATTCCATGGCATTTCGAGATTCTCAGAGATGTCTGCTCTAAGATAGAGACGCGCTCGGGGAAAGCGAGCCCTGCCCGAACGATGATAGGTGGAGAGCTGGGACTTGCATAATTTTGTAGAGTAAAGTCGGGACTACTTACGCATGCAAAAAAAAATTATTAACCTAGTATGTTAGTTTTCTGACAGCGGAGCTGGTTTTCCAAAGATCCTGGGGAAAATCGGACGTATACAAAGTTTTGAAACAAGTTTCTACTTACAAAACCATGTCTTAAGGTCTTGGGAACATGGTGGTGGTCAGGTCTCTATCTCATTTCTATCAAAAGTTATCCAAAAAATACCCACAGGTACCGTTTTTTTGAAATGGATAATAGATACCCGAATGACTTTGTGTCTAATAACTGTTGATGCATTTCCGGTGTCTTGAATACAACTACGTGATTTATCCATGGCTGATGGGTCTTGATCGTAGCTAGTGCCTTGAGACTTTTTGATACGTTAGTGATGTCTATCGAAAGCACTTAGGCTATTTTTGTCAAAAAAACATAGTAATTTAGAGGTGTTTTGTCAAGACATCAAGGCGACTAATAGTAAGAAAGATGGGAACATGCATCTAACGTGCCTTCATTACGCGCGGTGGATACATTTTGAAGCCATCAGGGTAATTTATCAAGACACTTTTTGGGCAGTGTAGAACTTCGAAAAAGAAAGTCGACGTATTTTTGCTCAAAAGTATCTAAAAAATGTTTTCTACTGATTTTCTGAGAAACCATGTTTTTCATTGCCGACCATTATGACCCCTGAAATTTGTGATCCGATTGAGCTAAAACTTCTGCTATAGGTACCTAAAGGCATTGTTCAGATGTAGTTTAGTTGATTTCGTTTTTGACTAGAGTTTTCAAAATGAAAAGCCTTGGATCTTCACACAGATTCTCGTATTTCCACTATAACTGCGAGAGAAAGAAAGATAAAAAAATACATCTGATAAACACCATTTGGTATCTCTAATAAAAGTTCATAAAATGGAGTTTTTGGATGGAAATTACACGTTTTTTTGCCAGTATGAGACAGAAAGGCTATGTTTTCATACTTTAAAGCCTCATCTGCATTGATTATTGACGAATATTTTTTCAAGATAAAATACAAGATTGACTCGTTTGTTGAACTATTTTTGACTATAATGATTTTCGTTTTTTACTAAGAGCTTAACTTCTTGTTCGGACTCTAAAAAGTGACGACTCTCCCAGCTCTGTTTAGATCCTGTTTTATAGCAATAGAAACAATATCAACTGCAACTATAACTAAGTTTTTTCATTTAAAATTGATTACAAATAGTTATATTTTGTAGAAACTCGAAAGCAATTTTTTTTGGATGGCAAACCTCCCGTTTTTGATAGAAATCCCCCTTGTCAGTTTTTTGATAGTCCTTTCCTTTTTCCATTAGAAAATTATGCGATGAATAGTCCTCGACAAATTGACTGCAACGAATTGACCTGCAACGAACTGATCGTGCGACGAATTGTCCGCGACGAATTGTGCTGCGACTAATTGACCGGTCACCTGGATCTCAACATGATGTGACTATCTGTAACAGGAAATGGAGTTTTCTAGTTACTTTACCATTGCAGTTTTGATTCATCGTTAAAGTTTTCCAGGTGAATCTTTTATCTTAACGTCTAAGCAAATATAAAACCCCTGTATTTAGTGGTCAGTCTATTCACTTTCCGACTTTGACCTACTTTTGAAAAAAGAAGCTAGCTAAAAAAACCCACTGTTTTTTGATGATGGTCATTCTTATGCGCTTCAAGGGTTATTCAGCCATCTACTCTAGCATTACTAAACACGGAGAACACCATTAAATACGGGAGTTTTACATTTGGTAGGCGTTAAGATAAAAGAGCCATCTAAAAGATTTTAACAATGAATCAAAATTAGAAAACTCCATTTCTTGTTACAGATAGTTACATCACGTTGAGACCCAATATACTAAACTTTCCAGCTTTTCTCCATGCCCTCAGATAAATCTACGAAATATAACTGTTTGCGATCAATTTTGAATAAAAACAATTAGTTGTAGTTGTAGTTGATGTTATTCCTATTGCTATAAAATAGGATCGAACCAGAGATGGGAGAGTCGTCACTTTTTATGACGACACATTTTGATTGAACTACTCAACAAACAACACAGCACAACCAGATACTTATGGATTATATTAACGACCACGATTCTGATCAAAATATAGAATCTGAACAGCTTAATGAGGATAGTCTATCAGATGTCGAATCAAGAGATGATATTGCAATCAATAATAGTCCACTCTTAACTAACACAATCTCATTTTTTTATATTCGTCGGATTACATCAGTTTACGCGTAAACTGATGTAGTTCGACGAATATAAAAAAACGAACAATTGTATAAAACACATGATACTATAACGACTATGTATTTTAATTGATATCAACTAGTTCTAGTCATATATAATAGAGTCGATCAATTTAGGCTAAATCCACAAGTGGTTCTGGAATGCTATTATATTGTGATGATTTAGTAGTTAAGGAAAAATTAATCACTACCGAAATTGAGCTTTAGAAAAACATTCATACACTTGAAGTAATAAAGAAGAGAATACATCTATAAACAAACAAAAAAACCAATTCGTGATTTTCTTCTATGCGTTTTACTAAGCTCTTTTTGACGATCAAACATCTTATTTGTTTAAAGTTTGTCAATGTTCTATATATCTCTTATTCAAACGATGTATTCTTCATATTATGAACATGTATGTGCTTGTGCATAATTGAGGTTCATATGTTCTCCTTTTGGTGGTTTTTTCTTTTTGTTTGAATAATGTAGTATACAACTAGAGTAACATTATATTATATGAGAAATTTCAATGACATTTTTCGAGAGCTTGACAAATTTTTTTCGATTAATCTGTGATGTACCTGTTAACATTCTAAAACTTTGTTGTCATTTTGTTGATATTTTTTCTTTATTTTTTCTACTTCTTTTTTAACACAACACGTATATTCACTTCATTATTCGTTATGTCCTTATCCTAAAACTGAATAAAATTTTTCTCAAAACGGTTGGGTCAGTTCAATAAGCGAAAAATCAAAATTCTCATTACTATTGAATATACAGAAAATGATTATGGTAGCCACTCTCTTAGTAATCTGTCAGTCAAACTTCTACTTTTATATAAAACCTACTAAACATGGTTGATTTATATCAAATTTGTTTTGACACAATGTGAAAATATTTTTCACTTTTATTCTTTGACATCTGCCATATAAGTAAGAAACTAAATAGTGAATTTTTCTTCTAAAAATTTTCGGAAAAATGTTTTATTGTTCAAATTGTGAATCTCTAAGATATTGCTATATACTTTTATCTAGATTTACCACAATGATACAAAACAGATCGTATTTGATATTTATAGTTTTAACTTATTTATTTAAAATTAGTTTCATGTTAAAATGCTATGATGATAATAGTTATAATACTTTCGACAATCAATATCGTCCTTCTCTAGTTCACAATTGCTATTCATGTATGATTTTTATCGAACTATTACCAACAACAACAATTTTATCAAAGATTAAACAAAAATCTCTAGTTACTATTGATGAAGACGATCTTGATTATTATCCTAATAAACGCTTTGCCAACTATGTTAATGAAAATGATAGTATTTCTGTACGAACGACACTACATCCATTTTTATATTATACACAAAATGATCAACAACAGCAACATCGTTATGTACCAAATCGACGTTGTATTAAAGAACAAGAATCACCAGTTTATGGCTATGATGACAAAAATTGTTTTTGTAATACAGATTATTGTAATGCGAATATCGAACGTTGTAAACTTGAAATATCATTTAAACCAATTTTTCCATGTTATGATGGGTTTACGAATTCTTTAACAATACGTCAGAAATGTCGTAGTTGTCAGATACGGGCAATAAAAGCGACCTACTATAGTTCTAATTTACAATATCAATGTTTAACATTTGGATGGATTGATATTAGCAACAACAACGATAGTGAACAAAAAAGTTGTACATGTCAAAAAGCAATGTGTAACGAAGATTTTCTTACGTGCAATCTTCAACGTCAAACTTATTTGTTTAAAAAAGATAAAGTAGTAGAAAGTTCCACAGTACCTATTACACCTTATTTTATATCGAATCCATTTTGGAATCGTTGGACATCGGCATGGAAGGCAAATTATAAGAATAAGCAATACAATGAAGTTACAGCAACAAAAACAATCAGTCGAAACTGGTGGTTAACTACTACCATTGCCACCACCACTACTCCTGCTACTACCACCACTACCACTATCGCCACTACCACTATCACCACTACTCCTGCTACTATCACCACTACCACTATCGCCACTACCACTATCACGACTACTACTATCGCCCCTACCACTATCGTCACCACCACTATTGCTACTACTACTACTACTACTACGACCACTAGTACTACTACTAAAACATCAACATATTCAGCAATACTTAATGTGGATAGTGTAAATTCATCGTTAGTGCTGACAGAAAATGTGACAGTAATGGACTATATACCAACATTAACATCACCCAACTTTTATAATGAGGCTGATGTCAAATCGATATCGATGAATATGCAAAATAGTACATCGATGATAGTTGAACAAGAACAATCCAGTTTTCAAGAGATATTGAAAACAACGACACATTTCGATTGGACTACTCAGCAAACAACACAGCACAACCAGATACTTATGGATTATACTAACGACTACGATTCTGATCAAAATATAGAATCCGAACAGTTTAATGAGGGTAGTCTATCAGATGTCGAATCAAGGGATGATATTGCAATCAATAATAGTCTACTCTTAACTAACACAATTTCAAAATTAAATTATTCACATCAACAAAAATTCGATGATCTTAGTGAAAGTTTGCCTATACTAATTAATTTAACAGTAGATTATTCATCAATCGTTAATTACTCAAACATTAGTGAGCCGTTGTCGACAACAACCATGATTCGTAATTTTCAAACATCTTCTGCTGTGAGAAAACTTACTGAAAATACCATTGCGTCCGTTCTAGTGAAAAGTTTTACTCAAAATATTGAAAATAGAACCGAATTCCTTAATGATTCTAATAATTCAATATTTTCAGCTGAATTCATACAACTTAGAGGTCGATATAACTCAGGATGCATCAAAATCTGTAGTCATTTGTTTTTATTTCTTTGTACAGGCATTCTCTGGATCTTCCTTTCGGTTAGCTAGTGGGGACAAACATTGCCATTTACAACTGTCTGAAGTAAACAAAAAAAATTTTTTTGTCAGATTTTCAGTAAATTCTGTTGTCTGTCGTAAATAGTATTAAAAAACCAACCAGCTTAGAAGAAAGCAATTGTGTATTCATGTTATGGTTTCTTTCATTTTTGTATAAGGCATCTGTTATTGTTTTTTTATATCTTGTCACTACTGAGTGTTTGATGTTCAGTTATAATGAGTTACAAACAGAAAAACGATTGATACATATGTATGAAACTAATCCTAGTTCTATTTGTTTGACTGAACACAGTAAATAAATTTATTTTAGCCAGTCTCATCGGCAAAAAAAAAATTCAGTATAGTCTTAGCTATAATTAAGTTCATCATAATGTTAGTTGATCTCCTCGCCAAATGTAGATAATGACCGTTTTCATTCCTAATAAAATCTTATTTCTATGGTGTGACTTGTGCTGAGCTTTTTAATGTAAAAATAATTAATTTTCTGATATCAAACTAATCTGTTAAGTGAGAATCAAACAATTGGTTAAATGAATCAATAAGAAATGCATGAACGTTTTTACTAAAAATATTCTTAGGACGCTTTCTTTGGGGATTCAATAGGATGAAAGAAAAAATTGAATTTCCAAATCATTTATTGCTGATTCTAACTATATTTGAAAAAAGAATGAGAAATCGTTCACTCGAAATTATATACGTCTGTTGTCGTTAGCTTTATTCTTGAAATATACCAGTTAGCTGAGATATAATATTTTTCCACTCGTATGCGCATTTTCTATATTAATTAACATAGTGGAAAATAGTTTAAGCTTTTTCTATAGTAACTGATTTCAAAGGACAACCAAGCAAGTTTGAGAATTTTTTCTTAAAACTTTCAATAGAATTTGTTTGATTATCAACTAATTAATTAAGCACTACCAAAACGCTCGAACTTATTATTGATAGTCATACAATGTACATTGTATGTATTTCTGTCCTTAAATATCTTCAACAACGGACCGTAACCGTTTTCTCCATTATATTATCAACTTATTACACATATCACCGCAAAGCTGCTTACTCTTAGTTTTTACTTATCAATCGTCAGTTTTCTTTATTATACTGATATCGTTCCTTTAATACCTGTGCATTTGGATGTGTTTATTGTGTCTTTCTGCTGAAAGTGAAAGGAGGAGTATCCTTTTCTCAGGTAAGAAAATAAAACTTCTTATTTTTACGTTAATAATGATAGCTATCAGCCAGTCTCGACGAGTTCCAAGCTAAACTCGTAAAAAGCCTGTCTGTTCTCGATATCTGCATTTTTTGTAAAATTTCAAGACGTCTGTAACTCGGGATTGAAAAATCAAAGATTATTACTTCACTAATTTGGCTCAAGAGTGCCATTAGCTGTGATTTCACGTTACAATCAGACTGCTTGACTTAAGACACAGAACGATACAAAGATACAAAATCGTGCAATGAGTGCACCTTTGTAAATTGCTCTACTAGAGTTCAACAGTGAGAATTTAGTTGGTGAAAATGTCGGGAAGAATTGATTTCCAATCTACCAGGAATTGCTAATGTTTGGCAGCTTTGGAAACCAACTATTTTTTGATAAGTTTGGCATTATTAAACAAATCACTGTTTGCGACTGTTTTCTTTCGTAGTTATGCTACTATAATTTCTAAATATGCAAACATTCGATCCATATATTCTGCGATTCTAAGGGAAACTAGCTTTTGCTAAAAGTTGAACAAACAACGGTGTAGTACTCTAAATGGCAAGATCTTGCGGGGCAAGAATGTCCGAAGATCTTGTTTCCTTGGTATCAAGAACTTCAACTAGGATATCGACACATTATAACAGCAAGACTCCATTAGATACAATCATGCAGTAAATTAATAATACATCTCATCCATTTCAAGGTCTAAGATACTCATAGCTTTGCTGGAAACTACTGATGTTGGTTTCGTGATCAGTGAATGGTTCGTTGTTGTGAATCAACTATCCGCTTTGAAAAACACTGATCTAGAAATCGAACATTTCAGACTATTTTCTACGACTTGAATCAACGCTCGACGAACTAAAGAAAAACATTTTTATCAGAATAGACAATCCATACCAAAGACGGCAGATCTGAATTTGGACATATAATCTGACAGGTCCAGGTCCAAACGTGCAATAAAGCTTGAGAGATACTAATCTTTAAGCAGTTTTTTTTTTTGTTTGTTCATTCTAATTCTTCAAGACGACCAAGTTAGAGATAAACCTGGATCCGTATCTGTCTCTCTCAGGCCTGGGTTTATAACCTGGATCTGGAAAAAGGACTTGTGACCTGTGACATGGACCTTGACCTAACCTGAACCTGGACTTGAATCTGTGACTTGGACATGAACCTGTACCTGAGATCCGAAGGAGCTTTCAAGCCTAATACAAATAACACTAAATATTCCGGTGTGAGCTTCACACGATGAGTCAAAACAGCTGGGAAAAGGCAAAATTTTACTACTTTTGCTGGAAGAGTAAAACGCGAATAAGTTGAGCTCTACGAAATGAGGTTGATCTTACGGTTTGCGCTAAAACTTTTGTAAAGTGTGATATGCTTCAGATGGATTTATCCATCATCAAGTCAAGGCTGTCACATCTTGAATAACATGCTTCTGCCTCTCGGCAAGCTATAATAAAAACAGAATGCCGACTAGACTCTAAATAAAAATATTCATAAAAATGGGAAATCATGAAAGACTACAAGCACATACCAAGCTCCTCTTTCATACATTAGGTTACTCTTTCAATAAGACTATTTTCGTCCATCACTAAAATCTTAACTATCTACTGACTAGACTACATCACTATGGATACCAACTGTCTGTCTCCATGAACTAACGAGGGAATTACCCGAGGTTATAAATCGATTTCGAGTTGGGACTATTTTGTTAGAAAGGCCCTAACGAGTAGTGAAATATCCCAACTTGGTTCATCATTGAGACTCGAATATTTGACCCTCACCCTTACCTTCTAGTGGAATATTCGAGTCTCAATATCTCAAGGCAGGAAAATTCATTCATTAGCACCGAATATTTTTCCATCGTACTGCTGTGACCATGGGCTACAAGTGTGGCAAGTTTGAAATCAGTCGGATTTTGCTCGAAATCTAAGCTCTATAGGCAAAAAACTGACTAAAAATTCAGTAACTCAACAACAAAGCACCGTGGAGATGAACCAAGTTGGGGTATTTCATTACTCGTTAGAGCCTTTCTAACAAAAATAGTCCCAACCAGAAATCGATTTATAACCCCGGGTGGTTCCCTCGTAATTCTTTGTTCTGTCTGGCACGTGTACAGTTTCTCTATATATAAAGAAAAGAGAAAAAAAATCTCAAAAACGCTTGACAGAATATTCAAGACAAGAATGGTCAAGAAAAAAAAGATAAGATTCTTTAAGATTTTATAAGACACAAGAATCCTTAAAGAATAATTTACAGAATGTCGATTAGTCCAGCTGCGTATTTCACTTTTGTTCACAATACCACGCGCCGAAAACTATCATGTCAAGACTTGAAAATTACATTTCGATAATGTTAATTGTGAAAGCGTAGATCTACTTTACGTACGAAAAAAGAATACCACTGAGAAAACACTTTCTCCACCGGCGTTGATGTGGCTGGCACGCATAATATGCAAACATTGAACAAATGTTGATATCGCCTTATAGAAGAAATTCCATGTAATGTAATAAAAAAAGCAAAAAAAATGTTGAAATTGTAAAAATTTTCGTTGTGTAGAAAAGGCTAAATTGAACTCAACTTCAGAACTAGAGTAGAGTCGAATCATTTCTCTTGCAATCATTTTTTCTAACAAACTAATTATAGTATATCGACTGTAAAAGAAACTGGAATTTCTTTGATTTCCTGTACTTTTCTTCAAAATGAAAAGTCACACGATTTGAGTGTTTATCTATGTGATAACATCTGTACCATACAGTCAGTCATCTGAAAGTACATTCATATTTTCATAATCTTTTCGTCAGGACATAGTAGCAGTAATTGCAATTTCTCCGCCCACAAAAGTTTCAAATAAAAACCATATGGCTAGAATTAGGATCGAATTTTGCACAAAACTGTCGACTCAGATTTTTGAAAACATCACTCTCAATTTTTTTTTCTCGAAAAAATCCCTCCCTCTACTTCTTTCATATTTTACCTTCTAATTTAGTCTTAATCCAATGACTTTTATATACACAGTATTAAATATAGCTACATACAGTTTGCTGGTGAAGAAGTTGCACGAAAGTGATAGAAAATCCACTGATTTTTTTGCAAAAAAAAGAAAAAACACTTATGGTCCTTAGCAGGGGTCGAATCTGCGTATATCCTGACAGTCTAAGTTTTAATCAACAAATCATGGATCACTATAATTCAATATAATTGTTTTAAAACAACATTGTAAAACAACAGTCTCTTTGGAATCCCACGATCAGTCAGCAAGGAAAACTTATTTCCCACATTTCTTCAGAATCTAAGAAGACATTAGAAAACTAAAAAAGATGAGTGACTGGAAAGCTATTGACATGCCATTCTAAAATTTATATTATCTTTCAATAAGACTTTTCTTTATGGTTTATCTTTAAATGCCTTATCTTTAAAGTTATAGGTAGGTTTATCTTTAAATTCTTATGATTTATGAATATCTTATAAGATTTTTATAAATTCGTTACCAGAATCAGTGATTTCTTATCACTTTCGTGCAACTTCTTATATAAGAAATTTGTAAGAAACCGATAAGATTCTTATCAGAATTAACAAATTTGATTTTACTAGGAAGAACAAGTTTTTCCCTACTTGAAGGATATTTTGCCTTACAATGGAGTCTCCATCCAATGAGTTATATACATGGTTCGATGCAGTTTGTCAGGCACTTTCCGAATATGGTCTAAGAAGTTAAAAAAGGTTGTGAAACAAGGTCAAAATTGGAAAATACAGGAAAAATTCTTTTTCTACAAATTTTCCCAAC